GTGGCGGCCATATTGGATTTCTGATCGACCCGAAAAATAACAACACTTTGTCAGGACCATGAGGCGATCATTCCTACCAACTTTCAGTTCAATCGGTCCAGCAGAACTTGACTTTAAGTTTGAAATAGGTTTTCAAAATGGCGGCCGTGGCGGCCATATTGGATTTCTGATCGACCCGAAAAATAACAACACTTTGTCAGGACCATGAGGCGATCATTCCTACCAACTTTCAGTTCAATCGGTCCAGCAGAACTTGACTTTAAGTTTGAAATAGGTTTTCAAAATGGCGGCCGTGGCGGCCATATTGGATTTCTGATCGACCCGAAAAATAACAACACTTTGTCAGGACCATGAGGCGATCATTCCTACCAACTTTCAGTTCAATCGGCCCAGCAGAACTTGACTTTAAGTTTGAAATGTAAAATGTTAACGGACGACGGACGACGGACGACGACGGACGAAAACGGTAGCAATAGGTCACTTGAGCTAAAGCTCAGGTGACCTAAAAACTAACATGTATATATGTTACAGTTGCAATGGTAGATATTTCCATTAATACCTTTTTTACAAGGTATCGACTGAAAGAGAAAAATCTAAGACCAAAACCTAATGTATACAGTAACAGTATGTATATGTAATTCTACAGAAGGGCTTGGATAACATGGGTACTTGGAGCGATACTTGGCTTCTAAGAATGCACCCAGAGAAATGTAAACACATGCACATCGGCCGGGAACTGAAAAACACAGAAAACCCTAACGGGACATATAACCTAATAGGAACCAACCTCCAAAAAACTGACGAGGAAAACGATATTGCGTAATTATCGATTCGGAACTTAACTTCAAAATTCACAAAAGCGAGAAGACAGCTAATCAAATTTTCGGACTTTTACAAAGGACTTTTAGCTATATGAGTCATAAATCCTTTCTTCTTTAATACAAAAGTCTGGTAAGAACACACCTGAATTACGCAAGTTCTGTTTGGGCCCCATTTAAAGCGAACGAGGCTGTACAACGCAAAGCAACCAAGAGTTTACCGGGAATGTATAATCTTCCCTACTCAGAAACATGATCTTACAGAAGGGTGCAAGGGCCGGGATATGATTGAACTTTATAAAATAATAAATGGAGTATACGATAAAGAATCGTGCAGTTTTGTAAAATTATGGAGAAATGTGGCATCAAGGCACAGCAACCGATCGAGAAAACACCAAAATGGTATTCCCACAACAATCTAGGACATCCCTGAGGAGAAACAATTTTACTATCGGAACTACAAACTTTGGAACAGCCTTCCAGAAAACGTAGTACCTTTCCCTAACATAAACACTTTTAAAAATGCACTGGACGAAGCATGGAAAAATCAGGACATGTCTTATAATTATAAAACAACTATGATAGGAGGTGAACGTTACACACTTTAGTATGGATACTAGAGTGCGGTGTCGAGGAACCACAGTAGCTCCTGTACTGGAAAACTACTATAACTGTAACTAATGTAGGTAATGAGTTCGTGGCTTGGTAATAGAGGGAGAAGGTAAGAAATCAATCACACACGCTTAATTGCAATCTAATTAAAATTAGACTTGTAATTCTACTCCTCTGCGATACACTCCAATACATCATAAAGGGGAGTAACTCCTACTGACTTAACCCATGTATCTCTGACGTAACAATAATATCGACTGTGGTATATATTTTCTTTATTCTAATACTGTACAAGCGTTCCGAGTCAGTTTCCTGCTTTGTATTAAGTATTCAAAGGAAGGCATTTTCACTAATTTTATACGTTAAATACTGTAGTTGCCTGTCTAATGTATTTTTTATACAGATCAACATTTATTTACTATGATAGAAATCTACACGATAAACATACGACTTACTTCCCTTGATACACACTGACAAAAAAATAGCTGAAATTTAAAACTTACAAAATATAACAGTAACGAGAGAAAGAGGACTTGTTCGACACAAGCGAACGGGTAATAATGAATTTAAGGAAGGTTACTTGATATCCATGACACAATGCCGGTCATTCGTGAGAATGGTCATGATTAGTAGGCGACACCGTGCAAAGTCCAACTCGACTGGCAGCCGCCCGGGTACATAATCTTAGGTAAATGGAGAAGGATTGCAAACAAGGAGTGGTGTTATAGTGTTATAATTGCATGAAAAAAATCTCGTGACGGGATGACAATGCACACAAAGCTAAAGAATCGGTCCCACATACCTTCTCTTAGAGTCGTATCACTAGCCATTCTGTTGTGTAAGGTGACAGTGGAAAAACTTACCCACGTTAATAATGTCCGGGTAAACATTCTATTACAGGCAATATTGTCTTGGCTTTGAAGAAAGACAGCCTTTATCCTCACTTCGTAGCTGATGGAAAAGGGAAACAAAGGAAATTAAATATTTTTTGATCACCTGATTACCCCCGAGTTAATTGGGGGAGTTTAGTTTTTAAGGTTATAATTATGTTAGGTATATATCTAAATTGTTCCTTTTCAGTGGGAAACAATTGAAATTTGGTTTGAATTATCACCATGTATGATGCTAGTTTGTGGTATGAAAATTAAGACCCTAACTCAACTTTTGGCACTGAGGTGCGGGCGACTAGACAGGTCAAATTGACTAAATTCTTAACAACATTCTTCTTCAGACCCAGATATGCAAAACTTAAACAGTTTTTTATGAATGGAATGGTCCTAAGGTGTTTTATCAGAAATATAATATAAAATATAAACACATAATGTATCTGTTTCTGATAAAAGTTTAATCACAGCAAAATAATTAGGATTTTTTTCCCAGGAAGGAAACTAATTAGCTTAGATTTAAAAATAAACTTTAAATTCCTCATATATATTTAAGCGTTTGAAAACATAAGTGACCTTTATATTCATGTCAACTATCGAACTGTCCTTAACGTTTAGGGCCATCATATTTGAGCTTGATATTTCAAGAATATTGTGGTATTGTCTATTTCTCATGTATCAAACGTGGCAAGCTCATCTGCATGTATAACAACATCAAATTATATGAAATGACACATTATTTAGTTGTGACACTCGTGTCACACGACTCCCAGATTTCCATTTCTATACTGTTAATTTTAGTGAACCTGTATGTTCAGGCAATCTAAGATCACCAGCCCTCCATCACTGGGTCGCGGGTTCGAGGCCTCCGTGGGGTCAGTCGCATGAATTTTCTCGATTCCCCCCCCCCCCTTTTTTTTTTAACCATTGGGAGACGAATGTTGTAAGAAGGACTATAGTCTGTTAGTATTGACAGTATGTCCATGTATTTCACCTTTGATTATCATCACCAGAACACCCCGTCGCCTGGTACTGGATGCTGGTCGGTGGTTTGCCTCCGGGCACTTCGGTTTTCTTCCACCACCAAAATCTGGTTTCATATCTCAATCATTGGGTAAAAATGTAAAATTACAAAAAAGCCGAGAACCTACAGAGCTGTGCCAGTGTTTTTTTAATTATTTGTTAACGTGTTTATGTTGACTTGTAACACACACGGTGTTTGCAACTCTCACAACACCGCCGATTCCCCCGCGCAACTTACAAGCACCGAAACCGGAACTTGTAACTCTCGCTGGCTTGAGAACACGTTACAACGTCATTAAACAAGTAGTTGTAAATATGACGTAAACACAAACCAAACCCAGCGGTGACCCTTCAATAATTAGTGGGGCTTGTACAAAACGAATTGAGATTGTGTTATCAAAGTTTAATTTCTCGATCTATCATATAACGATTATAGTATCATTATCATGCATGAAACAGTCTGCATGTTGTCTACTTTTATTTCATCAAAACACCACTGTTTGTTACGTTTCTTTTTTTGTTTTATAGTTTAATAGTCCATGATTTCTAGCCCCAAAATTCATACTTTTGTGTCTTTCAGATCAACGTAAGTTATTTTAGTACCGACACCCGATCGGCGTCTTACCCACACCTTGACTGTAGTGTGGAACACTCCATATTGACACAGGGCTGGGCCTATAGATAACAGACGGTACGTTTATATGTACCTGTATATTGTGTGGGGGTGTCTTGTACGTAGTTTTTCCGTATACAAATTTTTTAAATGAACTTCTTCATGATTTTCCGACACAAATACAGTATAGATCATCTTTGAATAGCTTTAGTGTTCGTGTTTACATCAATTAGTTTAAATACATGATAAATCATCAATCAGTGATGATACAGCTTAGTTTCTTCCCCTCTATGTTAAGTTCCGGATAACCGGGACCAATGCTCAAACGTATACCATGAATGTATGTAAAACCACTTGTCACATTACCCTCACCCAGACCCCTATTTCTATAAACCTATCCCCTCTCTCTTTTTATCAACCTTTCTCCAATAATACCTCTCTATACCATCTAGATCTATAACCATCCTATTTCCCTCATATCCAAACTTCCAATCATATCCACCCTCTAACGTCTTCATCAACCCGCCAACCTCTTCATCAACCCTGAAACCTCTTCATCAACCCTCTTACCTCTACATAAACCCTCTAACCTCTTCATCAACCCTCTAACCTCTTCATCCACCCCATAACCTCTTCATAAACCCTCTAACCTCTTCATAAAACCTCTAACCTCTTCATCCACCCCATAACCTCTTCATAAACCCTCTAACCTCTTCAAAAACCCTCCAACCTCTTTATCAACCCTCTTACCTCTTCATCCACCCCATAACATCTTCATAAACCCTCTAACCTCTTCATCAGCCCTCTAACCTCTTCATCAACCCTCTTACCTCTTCATCCACCCCATAACCTCTTCATTAACCCTCTAACCTCTTCACAAACCCTCCAGCCTCCTTGTCAACCCTCTAACCTCTTCATCTACCCCATAACCTCTTCATTAACCCTCTATCCTCTTCACAAACCCTCTATCCTTTTCATAAATCCTCTAACCTCTTCATCAACCTGTTCATAAACCCTCTAACCTCTCCATCAACCCCTTTACCTCTTCATAAACCCGCTAACCTCTTCATAAACCCTCCAACCTCTTTATCAACCCTCTTCCCTCTTCATCCACCCCATAACCTCTTCATTAACCCTCTATCCTCTTCACAAACCCTCTATCCTTTTCATAAATCCTCTAACCCCTTCATCAACCTCTTCATAAACCCTCTAACCTCTCCATCAACCCCTTTTCCTCTTCATAAACCTGCTAACCTCTTCATAAACCCTCTATCCTCTGCACAAACCCTCCAGCCTCTTTGTCAACCCTCTAACCTCTTCATAAATCCTCTAACCTCTTCATCATCCCTCTAACCTCTTCATCAACCGTCTGGCCTTTGCATCCGACCCATAACCACTTCATTAACCCTCTAACCTCTTCACAAACCCTCCAGCCTCCTTGTCAACCCTCTAACCTCTTCATCAACCCTCTAACCTATTCATCAACCCTCTAACCTCTTCATCAACCCTCTAACCTCTTCATCAGCCCTCTAACCTCTTCATCAACCCTCTTACCTTTTCATCCGACCCATAACCACTTCATTAACCCTCTAACCTCTTCACAAACCCTCTAACCTCTTCATAAATCCTCTAACCTCTTCATCAACCTCTTCATAAACCCTCTAACCTCTTCATAAACACTCTAACCTCTCCATCAACCCCTTTACCTCTTCATAAACACTCTAACCTCTTCATAAACCCTCTAACCTCTTCACAAACCCTCCAGCCTCTTCATCAACCCTCTAACCTCTTCATCAACCCCTTTACCTCTTCATCAACCCTCTAACCTCTTCATCAACCCTCTAACCTCTTCATCAACCCCTGAACCTCTTCATAAACCCTCTAACCTCTTTATCAACCCTCTAACCTCTTCATAAACCCTCCAACCTCTTCATAAATCCTCTAACCTCTTTATCAACCCTCTAACCTCTTCATAAACCCTCAAACTTCTTCATCAATCCTCTAACTTCTTCATCCACCCCAAAACCTGTTCATAAACCTCCGAAACTCTTCATAAACCCTCTCACCTCTTCATCAACCCTCAAACCTCTTCATCAATCCTCTAACCTCTTCATCCACCCTAAAACCTCTTCATAAACCCGCTAACCTCTTTATTAACCCTCTAACCTCTTCATCAATCATCTAACCACTTTATCAACCCACTAACCTTTTCATTAACACACTTATCTCTATTCCCCCTTTCCCCATAATATATGTACCGCCCTCTATCGTCCGTATCCACACTATACATGTGTATATCCCGTTCCTTCTATATCCCCCCTTCTGTATTTATCAACATTTTCATTTACATGCGCTCTCTTCCCTTCATAAATACCGTCTCTTCTATGACAATACACACACACAACCACCCCACCCCTACCCACCCCACCCCTGTCTATGACCATCCTGTCTCTTCTACCCACCCCA